AGCGCGTCGGGTTTGTCAACGACGCGCACACCCAACCGATCCGGAACACTGGCCGGGCCTGCTTGGCCTGCCGGCGGCGATGGTCGGGCCTGCGGACCATTTCAGTAATGCGATTTACTAAAGAACATAATCAAATAATGTGACCTGTCAGTCACTTTACATATATTTAAGTACGCTAAGGCTTCCGGCGGAGGCCTGCGGCCCTAGAGATTTGCTCCTTGGACATGACAAAAGACTGTAACAGGGCAACACCGTGACTACACCCCACCCTTCTGCTTTGCTTAAGAATAAAAACAAATGAACCAGCGCAGTTTTTAGATTGTATTGTTTGTTAAACAGTTTTAAAACTTGACTTCTTGCCATTGTTTTAAATATATCCACCTCTAGGGCACTGTAAGAAAAAACAACGGAAAATCAACGAACGACAGCGGCAATTATTTTCCGGACCTGTCCGTACCCTAAATTTAATTTTACGGTCGAAGCAAAACGGTTGTTCCGCGTTGTTCCGTACCTCATTTTTGGAGTGCGGAGCAACCATATCACGTATTTAACGGACATAAGCGGCAATTATTTTCCGGACACGTCCGTACCCTAAATTTAGTTACATGGTCGAACTCAAATGGTTCTTACGTATCTCTTTTCTGCAGTGGGCTATAACGGAATGTCCGTTGACGGTCCCGTAGTATCAGATGATTTTTTATAGTAGGCAGATACAGTGAAAGATACAGCAAATCCGAGGGCAGTTCCTGATTCACACCGTCAACGCTGTGGTCGCCTAGCATGCCAAAATATTGGTAGTCCTTTTTGACTGCCAAATTTTGGCCGTCTTTTGGAGGCTACCAAATGTTGGCCTCTTTGAATGCCAAATTGTCACCTTCTTCTTAGAGGCTGCCAATTTTTAGCCTCTTTTGATTTAAAAGGTTGGCCTTCTCTTGATAGGAGGCCAGGATTTGGCATGCAAGGAGGCCAAAAATTGGCAGCCTCTTATAGAATGCCAAAATTTGGCTGTCAAAAAGGACTTTGCACGTCGTCGTGTAACTACTCATGAGACTTTATTCAAGACTAGTCCCTCCGTTATCGACGACTTACATTCATTCAATAGGATACTATCGAAAGTTGTGTCATTTGGATAAGGTCCCGACCGAAACCATTCCTCGATTTACCTCCAGGGTCCACGATTAAGAGGCTATGGAGGCACCTATGAGATTTGGTTCTTGGCCGTCAGCATATTTATGACTTAACAGGGGGAAGAAAAGATTTTACACATTTCTTTTTCGACAGATTCCCTACTCGGCAGCACAGAAGCAGGTAATCATGGGGATGATCGACAAGTGCATGGAACAAGTGCCCGACCAGACACCCAGAGAAGCATGCAGGGCGGTGGCCAAGACCAAGCTAGATTCTGACGTCGAGTGGAAGGCCAACCTTCCCACTACTGTCCAATACTGCCTCTACGAGGATCAGTACAACCTTCCATCCGACGTTAAGATCGCCACCACTAACTGCCTTAAGGCAGCCCTCACGAAGCCGCTGACT